TTACGACGCGAATAATCCAGTTCGTAACCTTATGAAGAATATGTAGAAGAGTAACGCTTTTCTGCACACACATATTGCGATATTTCCTCGAGCGAGGATCCTGCAGGGTTTCATAAATAAGGTCTAGGGGCTCCTGAGGGGACGACCAACCATCTTCAAAAGTCTCGAGAGCTAACCCATCAACGGTTGGAAAAAGGGGAAAAAGAGGGGTGGGGGAGGTAATAAAGTCATTGTCGATGAAGGGAATCTTTGTCAATCACATTTTTCCCCAAAAAAAAATTTTTCCAGGACTAAATACAAAAATTTAAAAAAAGAAAGTGAGCTTGGAATTATTTTGATGATGTCTTCTGATGTCGGTGAGATAATAGGAAAAACACCAATAATAACACTTTTAAAAAACAAAAAAAATATCAAAAAAAAATTAAAATCCAAAATATCGGTAAACCTTATTTTGGATTACTCCTGAAACAAACAAAAATTCAATATTAATAAATCTTTTTATAAATATTGTCGAGACTAAAAGGTAATAGGAATCTTCTACGAAAAAATAAGCGTTCATTGACTTTAGGGTTGAAACATATCTGCGAGGAAAATGTAAATAAAAATAGCGGGGGGAGGGTGGGGGGTCGCGAAAAAAAATGTTGAAATTAACATAAACAGTCAAAGATGAATAAATCTTTGTAAAAGGCGGTGATTCCCAATGGGTTTAAATTGTAGTAGAGAAAATTACTTCTCTGGGAAGTAATGTCGCTTTCACGAAGTGTCGCTACTGCCAAATATCGTGCTCCCAGTGGCATAACAAGAGCGTCCGTTCGTTAAAGTTCCAGGCCATAAACTCTGCGTTCCCGAGGGGCACGGAAAAAAGAACTTGAAATAATTAAACCAAACATAAAAGTCACGACGACGGTTAGAATGAAAGAGAAAGAAAGAAAGAAAGAGATAGTTGGGCTGGCCGATGAAACGCGTGAGTATAAAAATTCTACACGAACGTGTGACGATTTTCCAACCACCGCTCGTTAAAATGGGGTATCAACAGACCACGAACCCTGGCATTTTCTCTTTTCTGGTCAGCTACTCGAGGACGAATTATATTATATCACTCTTTCTCTTTGTCTTTAAAATCATGCTAATGTCTCTCCTCATTTTACTACCACGCGCATTTTAAGTACTTTTCATAAAAAAAATTAATAAAATTTGAAAAAAAAATGTATTCAATTTTTCTTTTTAATATTAAAAAATCTGTGATTAAAAAAAAACAATTTTAAAATTACATTAAATTTTTATTTTATTTTCATAATCGAGTTGAAATAAAATTTATCAAATAAATATTTACTTGAAGCAAATAATTTTTTTTTTCAGTGGCGAAATCTGTTTTCAATCTTACATGATACACATTGTATAATAAAATAAAAAAATTCTTTGAATTTAATAAAATTTCTTGAGAATTTCATAATATTTTTTAATATCACTCAGTTCTAGCGTAGATATTCTGACAAAAAATAAACTTTCTTCGAACGATGAAGAGAAATTGTTTTAAGGTTTTTTTAAAAAAAAAAAAAACTCTAAAGAATGTGCATTCCTAAAGTAACTCGAAGAATTGTGAAAAAGAGCCGAGAACTTTATTGGTGTGACTAAACTTGAAGCGATATAAAAAAGAATTTTTAAGTTTTATACTTTGAAAAATTATTGTAAATGAATTTTTATATATATTACTGAAAAATATTTCTCAAAAGAAAATATTTATAAATTAAAATAGAACTTGCAGCAAATAATTTTTATTTAAAATAAATAAACTTTATTTAAATCAACAATTTCTGTATTTGAAACATAAAAAATATTTGGTTCAAAGAAATATTTATCTGATAATAGTCAATCGATTATTTGAATCAAATATATATTTTTTTTCGTATTTTATAACGCAATTAAAAAATAAAAATTAGTTTTTGAAATATTTCACTAAAGAAAAGCAGGGGTATTTTCCAATTTTTGTAAAGAAGGTCGTAGAGGGTCACAGGTGCATGTCGCAGGGGTACAATTTACACATCAATCTGAGGAAACAGATGTGAACCCTCCACGTCCCTTGTTCTCTCAATAAAATTGATCTCTCTCCATTTATTTCTTAAACGTATTCCACTATTTTTTTTTTCTTTTAATGATCGATTCGTACTTTTTTTTTTTTTTTTTTTGAACTTCAATAATAATACGCACCTGTTAAATTGACATTTTCAATGTAAAATCATAAGTCATATAAGCATCAACAATTTAGAGTAATTTTCATTGTTACAATATTGCAATTCTGTTCGTGAATCAAAAGTTCTTGGCAACTTGCCACGTGACAATATAATTGAAGAATTTATTGCATTGTCTGAACGGTGAACAAAACGAAACTTTTGTAAAGAATCGAAAAAACTTAACACGTGGAGAAAACTGATAAGACGAAGAAAAGAAAATATAAAGAGAAAAGAAATTGCTATTTTTTCAACCATTTGAAAACTAAATTTTAAAAAATTTAATTTTTTTTAACATTTAGATTAAAAAGAGAATATCAGAGGAAATAGTTAACGCTATTAATAGTGAAAGAAAAATCATTCTATTCATGACTCAATAATATACCGGTTATATGGAAGTGTATACATTAGGGATTACGACCCGAGACGCATCCCTTGCCTTCGAAGTCTCCGAACTCTCAAAACTTAAACTAGTTATGACTATACAAATTAATTAAATTATGATTTTACTATATATACAAATTCATACAAATGATTTTACTACTGTAGGGAAGATCGGTGAATAATGAAACATATCAATTTATACAAAAAAAGATAAATCGAAATTATTTCACTCTCCGATAGTATTGAAAGTTTATTACAAATTTTAATGAATTTTAATTTTATTATATAACTATTTTTTAAACGAATTTTCAGTTTTTGAATTAGAATTTGATAAAATTTCTTTTTTAAACGAATTTTTATCAGTAATTTTTAAAACACCGAATTTGTATTTCTTCGAAATTGCATTTTAAGAATTCTGATGAATATAAAAATTCGATACCTAAAAATTCTGTTAAGTAAAAAGTTTAAAAAGAAATTTTATCGAATATGCTAATTCGAAAAATGAAAATTCGCCTTTAAAGATAATCATGAAAAAAAAAATCAAAAATAATAATGAGCAAAGAAAAAAAAAATAAATCAATTTAACATAGATCTACTTACAATTGTCTATCAACAATCAAATCTAGTCAGATAAATCAAACATACCTCTGCTCCTGAAACAGAAAGAAAAAAATATATTAATATTCCAATTTTTTTTCAAATTCTACATTATATTTTCTTTAAAAAAAAAAAATTAGCACTAAATCTTTTTTCATTCAATTCAGTTATGTATTATATCGACATGATTTATTACTGGAAACTGTATGTACATATATTGCATAGGTGAATGCTAAATGGACCTGAGTTACATGCTTTCAACGAACCAGAGTCGTTTATTAATTTACGAAGATTATATATACACACACACACACACCTTCGTATTTACAACGCGAGAATATATTTTCTCGTTTTAAAAAACAAAAAGTCAAAAAAAAAAAAAAAAAAGAAAAGGAGTTTGAAAAAAAAGATTGAAAAAATTTTTTCGAGTATCCAACTAACTTCAATATTACAAAGCAAAAAAAAAAAAATAAATAGCGGCTTTAAAAAAATATTCAACTTTGTTCCGCACTCTCGGAAACGAGGCAAACTCTATAAATTTTGCAAACTCTACTAAAAGAGATATTACCCAACATGATAAATAATTACCCAAAAGCTACGATAAAAATTCGTTAATGTTGCTTCGTAAATAAATTTTTTTCATTTCCCCTTTATTATTCCATATAGAACAAAAATCGTTTAAAACGTTAAGATGAAAAATTTGATTTATCATCATATACAATAAAAAAAAGGTAATAAGGAAAATGTGTGTTTTTAAAAAAAAAAATAAAAATAAAAAAAATTTCACTATTGCAAATTTTTTTTACTTCTGTCATTGATTCACCATCATTTTTTTATGAATAGTTTTGTCGCGGCTAATGAAACACTTTTTTTTTTGTGAAAGTTTTTTGTCTCAGCTGTTCTTGGAAGCAACTCTGATTGAATTGCTTCTACCTCTTCTCTTTGTGTTTCACGTTTTACACTTTCCTTGACATACGCATTCTTCTTACAGTTCTTTCATTTTTTTTTCTCTCTCTGTCGAGATGCATTTTACACTTTTTTTTTTCAAGTACAAGAACTGTAATGGACTTCTGGATAGAAACTTGTCGATAACTGAGGCCTCAACTAAAGAAACTGAATTGTTCTGCAAGAAAAAAAGTTTTTCCAAGTTTTTTTTTTTTTTTCTTGATGCATTCGATTCATTTTTCTTTTCTTTTTTAATAAAAATCCATAGTTTTCTACGAGTAGAATTTTATTTATTGAATTTAAAAATTTATTTTAAGCTTTTCCCCAAAAAAAAAGATTTATTTTCTTCGCAGTTAAAAATTTGGGATATTTTATATAAAATATTTGATTTTTCCAACTACTTTTAAATATCACTGAAAAAAATAGATGTGGAATTTTATGGTAAATTGATTTAAAGTTTTTCAATTTTTAATCTAATTTTCAAACTATAATGTTAAACGACATTAAATTTACATCCACATTTATTTTTCCTTCGTTTAATGGATTTTAACCCGGCGAGACTAAGGTTCAATTTTGTAACACTGTGACTGATTTTATATAAAAATCGCAGTAAAATTCAGCATTCCTAGTTCAAACTATCGAGGAATAAAAGTTTCATAGGGTAAAATTTACCCTACCTTAGTCACGGCGGGTTAAAATTGTAATAGGAAAAAAAAACAAACAAACTACTTCATGTAAAATCACCAAAATTTAGAATATAAATTGTAATTTAAAAAATTTAATTTTCAATATTTTTTTGAAAAATTTAAATAAAAAATTTTTTTTTATATATTTAATTTGTTTTAGAGCTGCACAGAAACTAAATCTTTCGGCGAGTCCACATCGAAGACGTAGATCAGGCGATGATATTGATGAACAACCCTTTTTTCCCAATGGCTATGCAGCTCTTCTACAGAAATCTCCTCCTCCTGCACCACCGGCACTTCTTAGGAGGATAGGCGTCAAAGAGTTGTCTGGAGTCGGAAAGGTAAGATTTATTTTACTCCCATTCCCACCATCTTCACTAAAAGAAACCATTTCTCATATGCCTTGAAATGCTATTTTTATTTCGTCGCAGAAAGTTTTATGAAACGTTTGTATTTTTTTTTTTTTTTTTTTTTTTTTTTTTAAAGATTAAACAACAAAATAAAAATAATACCAAAAATAGATAATAATATTTAAGATAAATTAGAAGAATACACGGAGAAAAATGGACAAATGAATATGAAGAAACTTTTACTATTTTAAAAGTAAAACCTAAACTGTCCGCAGTTTCTGCGTATTTCTAACAAAATTTTACTTCAGAAATATAGTAAAATTTATTTTAAATTTGACTATTTTTGGAGTGAATTGTCAGATTTACAAAATTCAAAATGGCGGATCCAATATGGCGACCAAAAATTTTGAAAATTGACCATATTCGCTTGAAACTTGTTACTCGGAGGTTTTTGGGGTCGCTGATTCCGAATTTGATGTCAGAATTACAAAATTCAAAATGGCGGATCCAATATGGCGACCAAAAATTTTGAAAATTGACCATATTCGCTTGAAACTTGTTACTCGGAGGTTTTTGGGGTCGCTGATTCCGAATTTGATGTCAGAATTACAAAATTTGAAAATTCAAAATGGCGGATCCAATATGGCGACCAAAAATTTTGAAAATTGACCATATTCGCTTGAAACTCGTTACTCGGGGGTTTTTGGGGTCGCTGATTTCGAATTTGATGTCAGAATTACAAAATTTGAAAATTCAAAATGGCGGATCCAATATGGCGACCAAAAATTTTGAAAATTGACCATATTCGCTTGAAACTCGTTACTCGGGGGTTTTTGGGGTCGCTGATTTCGAATTTGATGTCAGTATTACAAAATTTCAAAATTCAAAATGGCGGATCCAATATGGCGACCAAAAATTTTGAAAATTGACCATATTCGCTTGAAACTTGTTACTCGGGGGTTTTTGGGGTCGCTGATTCCGAATTTGATGTCAGAATTACAAAATTTCAAAATGGATACAATAATAATCACACCCATACTATGCTGCTTTTAAATTTTCAAAATCTGACTTGAATATCGAAATCAGCGACCCTCAAAACCCCTGAGTAATAAATTTTAAGTATTTTAAAATCATTTTTGCCATTTTTTGAAAAATCGTCCGCCATATTGGCTCCGCCATTTTGAATTTTTAAAATCTGACTTTGGAATCGTAATCAGCGACCTTAAATACCATTTGTACAAATTTTGGTTATTCAAAAATTTACTGACATTTTGTGCCCACTTATGAGATTTTGGCCTCGACTGCGATGGGGTTAAAAAAAAAAAATTTAGCAATATTTCAATTGAAAAAAAAAAAAAAAATGTTTTTCTTGTATGGAAATGAAAAATTATGCAAATTTTCTAATCAGCATTATATCTAAAATCTGTGAAAGCATCTTCAAAGGCTTGAGAGAAACTAATCTCATTTGGTTTCGTCTAACACTGGAATTTTGAGGGTATAAGCGAAAGAGAGAGCGAGAGAGAGAGTGTGAGAGAGAAATTTCTCATCGGTAGCAAAAGTGCGACTTAGTCCACAGGTAGATGGGTATATAGTGGCAAATGATTTAAAATGCAAATGAGTGTCTCTCTCTCTCTTGTAGCGCATAAGCACACCAGGTTATAAGCCAAGGTTTCTATGTAAGCGTTTATGCTATATAGGTATGGTTATAGTTGTGGCAAACACAAAAGGGGTCGAAACTACCATATGCACTCCTCCATTTCTCTTTTACTTTCCTCCCACAGACACACATATGTTCCCTTCTTCTACGTGTAAGATTATCGTTTCTATATGTATATTATCCCCCCCCACAGCACATTACACTTCTCGGAGAGGGTGGGGGGGGAGGGGAGAGGACGCAATGACAGTATTTCCGGTTTAACCCACCGAATTGGGCTCGTTCTGAAAACGACGTCACTACCCTGTGAAAACATTTCTAAGATGGGGTGTGTCTCGTGCGCTCTGCAATCTCGACGATCGGCAAACACTGACGCTTAAATATTTGTCCTCAGGATAACGGCCAAGGATCAACCTGTAACAAGTGATTTCACGTGTCTTCTTACGGTCTCTCGAATTTTCTCAAAGCTCTTTTTCAGTTAACAAAAAAAAAGAAAATTATTTCCAAAACCTTGAGAAATTAGGATTTGGTTCGAAATTAAAATTCTTTGATATATTATAATAATATAATATTAATACAATATTATATACATATATATGTGTTTAATCCGCCAAAGCAAACAATGTTATAATATTACTACACAAATGTCCTGAAATCCTAATCATCAGTCCGTATTCGTATTACGTGTTTGTGGCTGAACTCCGTTCACTAAAATCAGAGGGGTGGTTTCGCCACGTCGGCATCCTATCCTGCCTTTATGTGAAACGTATACGTCACGATACTGCCAGTGCCAAATTGGAGAGCTGAATGGGCCAAAAAGGACGACGAGGTCTGAGGGATTGAGAAATGGTTGGCCCATTACTGTCGCATGTCGATTGAAAACATCTACTATATATATATTTTATACTCCCTAGTATATCATATATACATACATTTATATATATATATATATATATATATATATTTATAATACAGAAGAAATGGAAGTTAGAAAATGATTCGAAACTAAGTGAGCATAAAAGCCAACAAAACGAAGTCACACGCTGCTTAAAATTCATCAGACGTGGTTGCATTCTAATTACTCTCTTTCTGTATATATATATACGAACTTTTGGAAGTTAGTTAGTCTAAATGAAATTAACATGTTTCAGAGAAAAAGAGAAAAAATTCAGTAAACTTTAAAATTAGCCCCTTACTGAATTTTATTAAAACATTTCTTCAATTAAAAATAATTTTTATTTATTTCCTATAAATATTTTCTTAATATATATATATATATATATATATATATAAATATTTAAAATTGACAACTCTTTTTCAATAAAATGTAATTCCTTCGAGCGGATTCTCCCTATTATATATATATCTTTTATAACCAAGGGGGTTTTAAGATCATTTGAGATACTCCCTTATTCGTATCTGAAATTCTTTTTCAAGAACCTTTCTATTCCTAGGGATAAGTGCTTCCACTTAGTCCACTTGAAAAGTTCATTGGTAGGATTTTTATTTGTTTTCCACTCTTCTAACGGGGTCTTCTTTTGTTTAAGGAAGTTTTTCGGTGGGAACCGCCACTGGTCGCGCTTAATTTAGCCAACTAGTGACTGGTCGCCCTAACCCCCCTCCCCACCTTTTTTTTTCTCCAAAACAGAAGTCATGAATACGAGAAACTAATTTTTGTAATATCAAAACTTTCTTTTAATTGACGTATGTCATATACCCTCACAACAAAAGGATATCCTAAACTAATGTAGGATATCCTGAAAACGTCCATAGGATATCCTAAGGATATCCTCAGAAAATCCAAACCGCCGTTACGTAGGATATTTTTGGGATATCCTGGTGATATACTGAGAATATTCTGGGATATCCTGGGGATATCCTGAGGATATTCTAGGGATACCTCTGGGATATCCTGGGGATATCCTGAGGATATTCTAGGGATATCCCTAGGATATTCTAGGGATGTCCCTAGGATATTCCAGGGATATCCTAGTGATATCGTGGGGATATTCTTAGGATAAACTTGGTATATCGTTAAAATATTCTAAAAATATCGCAAAGATCTCCCTAGGATATCATTATGATTCAAATTTTGACTATTTGAGATAGCGATTTTTTGATACAAATAGGTTTCCCGTGATTGTCAATCATTTTTTCAAATCTGGGACTTAAAGTTGATAATTAGAGACATATATTTAAGCCAAAAATGCGATTTTCGACACTTTAAATTCGTTTTTTATGGGACTGAGCGAATGAAAAATTTTTGTTCTAACACACGCACCGAAAGTACACCATTTCTTACCTGTGTAGCGGGAGAAAAGTATGTCTTTTCCGACGAGCGGGAAGGAAAGTTACATTCCCTCCCGGTGACGTCACTGAGCGGGAGGGAAAGTTACTTTCCCTCCCGGTAATGTTGTTATTAGGCATTACATATTAATCAAACTATATATATAGACATACTGTGGATATCCTTAGGACGTCCTAAGGACATCCCTAATTATTCCAGGGATATCCTTGGAATATCCTTAGGACGTCCTAAGGACATCCCTAATTATTCCAGGGATATCCTTGGGATATCCTTAGGACGTCCTGAGGATATCCTTGGGACGTTCTAAGGATATCCACAGGATATCCTAATAATATCCGGGAAATGATTAGGATATCCCTGGGACGCCCTAGGGACATCCTTAGATATCCCTAGGATATCCTAACCGCCGCTACTTTGGATATCCTTAAAGTGTCCTTAGGATATCCCTGGGATATCCAAGGGATGTTTTTGGAATATCCTAGGATATCTGGTGCTGTGAGGGTACTTAAATACCTAAATATAGTATCTAGATAAAAAATTGACTTTTACTACTGACACTGTAAAAAGAAAGGTATTAATTTAATACCAACTTCAGGTACTAAATTGTCATTTGGTTCTATTTTGATACCTAAAATCGGTACTGTTTTAGTACTTTTCCGTACTGTTTTAGAACTTTCTTTTTTTCAGTGGACAAAAGGAATACAACAAATGATTCATGACATTTATTTTAGCTATGTTATCAAAGTAACAATTTAAATAACAGTCTGACTGAAATTGGCTTGTAATACCCACTGACACTTGATTCTCATGAATTTGGAAATAAAAATAAATTCACACTTCGTAATTTATTTCAAAGTCTCTTTTTAATAGAACATTATTTTCAGTTGAAAAAAAGAAGAATAAAAATAACCAATAAACGTTTATTGAAGACCATAAAAATCACAGCGTCAATTCTTTGGACATTGAGTTGGTTTCAGAGCAATTTCTCTTAGAAGATTGGGTCGTGCACTGGTCTGAGATTCCTGATAA